ATGTAGAAGTGCGTTTCTTTACGTGTGCAATTATCTGCTTGAAGCTGGTGGACAGGCGGATGATCAGGCATCTACATCGTCAGACTCGGACTGATCTATGTACATATTTTTTGAGATAATCGTAAATAAATTTTCCTATAAAAATAACTCTTGTTCACTCTAAATTACGGAAATTGTTGTCGAAACGTTTAAACGATTAGATTTTAACGTACTAGCCTTGTGTGACTATGAATCCAAAGTCCGTTAATAGGTTCCCACTAAGACGATATATAACTCTAAGCGCTTATAATCTCAATGTTTTCTTTTAACTATGGACGTAGTAAATTCATTATGTTGCGACATAATCGTTTTATCAATAAGCCCCTACGAATATCTATCTAGTCTTACTTGGCATTTCTAAGATAACGTCATATACTACGTACCTCACGACTTACGCAAAGGTTAGAAGTTAGTATTTATCAAGTAGAATAAACAAACGAATAATGAAGAATAAATTTATTAATGAATTAACATGTAATACAAAATCGACAACAGTGCAGGCATCTTTTACTTTATCACCCAAATCCCTGAAATTCCCGAAGGTAGATATTATCTGAAAAAAACAACATAAGAATTATTCAGATGTAGACATTGTTATTAGTGTAAACACAATAATTAACCATTAAATTTGTTTAAAATGACAAAATAATTATTTGAACTGTATATAATTATGTTAATCAACAATTTTTTATTAATACAAAATCGATATGGAATGTGCCTGCAAGCATCAAGTTTATGCCATGAAATAAGGAAATACTATGCGTGTTTAATTTTTAAGTATTTCTGCAGATTTTTCTTGAAGAAATAAATGTGAAGGAGCCTTGTCAGCATTTAGGAAAAGTACACAACAAAGTAAATTAAATAATTACCAAAACGAGCTATCCCAACTCATCATGTCCATGTGTAATCCATTAATAGTGCAAAATAAATTCACAAAAAGTCGTTATAATATGTGTCTTCAAGTAATTCGATATTTTCTGAACGGAAAAAGTAGGTATTTTCAACAAACTGTAAACTGCCTGTAACCTACGTCCGGATAAGGACACCATCATATGCTCTTTCTGCTAAATAGGCCGCATTTCATCAACTTTTAGCAGGAATATAAGTAAAAAAAAGGTGTGAAAAACAACGAAAAATGACCTAACCTTAACGTTTTTCCAATAAATAACGCCAATATCCATCGGCTAATCAAATGACCTACGTCCGTCTACAGGCTGCCAACAAATAAAATAAACAGGATTTAAATTTAGCGATTAGAGTCTTTTCAGTAGTATCTTTTCGTCATGTATTTTGGTATAATTTATTTTTGCATTTATTATTTATTCAAAGAAGTGAAGAAAAGTGCTAGGAAGGACAAAAGACGATGCTAAGACAATCTAGCTACTGAAGCTGAAAAGGCAGCAGGCAAAAGGGACCTGAGGACACTATATCAGATAACCAAATCTCTATCCGGGAAGAGACCAACACAAGCGAAACCTATAAAAGACAGCCAAGGGAAGCCCATTACCAAGGAAGAAAAACAGATTAAACAATGGGCGGATCACTTCAAAGGACTCTTAAACAGACCACCACCTGCAACCCGTCCAGAGATACCAACAACAGCGCACACACATCTGCAAGTTGACACCAATCGTCCAACGAAAGCTGAAGTCTTGAATGCAATCAAACTTCTGAAAGCTGGAAAAACAGCCGGACCAGATGGAATACCCCCTGAAGCACTGAAAACAGACCCAGAGACGACAGCAGACATGCTGACTCCATTGTTGCAAAAGGTCTGGAAGGAGGGAAAGGTGCCTACTGACTGGAGGAAAGGTTACCTCGTGAAACTACCAAAGAAGGGCGACTTACGCCTCACTCTGCAAGAACTGGCGAGGAATCATGCTCCTATCGACGCCAAGTAAAATCCTGAGTCGCATCATCCTCGAGAGATTAAAGGACGCACTGGAGACAGAACTCCGACCAGAACAAGCTGGATTCAGGAAAGTCAGGCAAATCATGTACTGACCAAATTGCAACTCTACGCATCATCATCACAGAACAAAGCATGGAATGGCAATCAAACCTCTACCTCAACTTTATAGACTTTGAGAAGGCCTTCGACAGCGTTTATCGTGAAGTAATTTGGAAATTACTCGAGTACTATGGCGTACCCCAAATATTCATCGACCTTATTCAACAGCTGTACTACAACGGCACCTGCCAAGTGATCCACAACGGAAAACTCAGCGAGGCGTTTGGAGTAAACACAGGAGTCAGACAAGGGTACTGGCTTATTATCACCAATGATATTCCGAATTGTGGTGGACTGACTGTATTATGCGTCAGACAGTGGGAAACGAGAAACGGGACAGTGATATCCTGGATCGACCGACGTGAAGAACCTAGAAGACCTGGATTTCGCGCGTGGATGATTTATGTTTGATGTCACACACAATCGAAGACTTACAAGCGAAAACCGACAAACTGGTCGAAGAAGCTGACAGTGAGGACAGGACTCCAGGTGAACATAGACAAGACGGAGGTTATGAAAATAACCAACCAACAACAGCAACAACATCCAACGTCAATCACCATCAACGGGAGGGATTTGAAAGAGGTTACTTCATTCATTCACTTATCTAGGGAGCATTGTCTCAACTACAGGAGGAGCGGACGAGGATATCAAATCGAGAATCAGGAAGGCGAGAAACACATTCATCAGCCTGAAATCAATCTGGAAATCTTCGTCACTCAGCATCAACAACAAAATTCGGATTTTCAATACAAACGTAAAGTCAGTCAGTTCTTCTATACGGATCAGAAACTTGGCGGGCGGGTCACAAAGAATATTTCCAAAAGGCTGCAGACCTTTATTAACAACTGTCTTCGCTCAATACTGAAGATCAGATGGCCGGAAAGAATCACCAACAAGAAACTATGCCTGGGAACAAACAAAGCAAGAACCAATCGCCCACCAACAGCAAATATGCAGGAGAAAGTGGAGATGGATCGGACACTCGCTGAGGAGACCGCTGGGTGACATCGCGCGCCAAGCCCTCGAATGGAACCCGAAAGGGAAGCGGCGTGTGGGACGTCCAAGGGTGACATGGAGGAGATCGTGTGAAGAGGAGTTGAAAGAATATGGATTAACATGGATGCAGGCGAAAAGTATAGCAGAAGACAGAAGAAAATGGAGACGTCCAGTTGAAGCCCTATGTTCCTCTAGGAACCCAAGGGAGCAATAATAATAATAATATAATAATTTATTATTTATTAATGTGAAATATTCCCATATTATGAATTAAAAGTCATTTGAATGAATGAAGAATATTCTTTTTAAGAATTTCTCCTCTTCAGGTTCTTACAATTATAAAATAGAATACATTTGTTGTCGTTACAATAATGATAGCCAGTCAGTTATGCGGCGGATACATTTTTTACTTAGAATAACAAATAAATAGTCGTAAACATGAATTGGCAACGGTGGAGAAAAAGCCTCGGTTTTTACGTCTCCAATTCAAGGGAGACAATCTTGCGAAGATTCACTCACAACGTTTAATCATGGCGATAAAGAAAACATTCTATTCTTCACGTCTCTGTGTCTATCCTTCAGTAGCCGTCCACTGTTCACCCAGCAGCTCAAAGATGTCTTACCTAACTAACCTTAGCTCTTCTTCATGCATATACCATTTCAACTGTTCCTGTGGTTCAAGTTTTATAGGGCACACGATTAGGCAGGTTTTTCTACTGGTTCGAAAACATTTACGTAATAATGTATAATTCAAATAATCCTCGGGGCATTTCATTTAGTCTGAAATCTTAATCAATAAAAATATTGGCGTAATTTTACTTGGGCCAAATTCTGATTGGTTGATTTCCAGACTTGACATCGACCACCATATCCATTATCCATGAATCTTGACTTCTTCTAATTTCGCAATAATATATTGGAATCCAACCCTAGTGGAAATGAATGGTCAACGAGCTTAGACTCATAACCCGAAAGTCTTGAGTTTACTGCTTCGTGAATTTACAATTGTGCACTACTGAAGACATCGAAACTGGGACGAAATAGCTGTTCCGTACTCAGTGTCTGGCATTTTCAAGGATCACTCACCTAACTGATGTGTTGGTTTCTAATGTAATCTATTGATTGAAATTAATGTTAATCTAAATAATAATAATAATAATAGCAATAATAATAACAATTCTTCATTTCACGTGAGACGACAAAAATGAGAAAACAATTTCCAGCAGTAACACTATGTTTTTGTTGTTTGTTTTTTGTTATTGTAATTAATGTTATTGTTGTTTTTCTGGTTGTTGTCAACGTTGTTATGGTTTCATTTTGTCCAGCATATATGTGAATGCGTGTATGTATGTGTGTGTGTTTGTAGGTCGTTGTATTTTTAATTCAGTTGATTGGTTGAATAACTGGTTGACTGTTGATTGATTGGTTGGTTGGCTAACTGGTCGATAGGTTGGTTGGTTAGTTAGTTCGTTAAATTGTTTGTAGGTCTGATCTATTCCCTAGCCCTACGAATAAACTGTATACACCCACACATAGACACACAAACAAGCACAAGCTAGACACAACCAAATCCATCTAACCATACAAGAATACACATACAAACCGAAAGCATCAACAATCTCACCCACTTATTATTACTATCATTATTATTATTATTATTATTATTATCATACAACAGACTGCCTTGAATTTGATTGGTCGACGTCAAGGCTACAGATCATGAAATGAATGAATTAATCAATCAATCAATCAGTAGCAGTCAGAATTTACATTTGGAATGCCCGCCTTTCGTTTTTATAAGATAGTATTATATGAACCACCCAAAATACTTACACACCACCAACAATAACCACAGCAAAACGGCGATTTCTACTCCTCCTTTTTTCTAGTCCAATCTGAATTGTGTTAAACACTCACTATCCAAGTGGAATAAAAGCTTAAAAAAGACAAAATGACCTTATTGTCGCCTCAAGGGAATGCAGATAATCCTAAATGTAATAAATTAAATGAGACTACTTCAGCGATTTCAACACATGATTATATTATAAACACTTCATCTATCCGTCTACCGTTTATTGCTGCTGGACTTGTGAATGCTGCTGTCGCTGAATTATTAAACCAGTTATCATGTCGTTTCTTTGAAATGGCTGTCATCACACCGAAAATAAACGACAGTGAAAAAGAATCTGCAGCGGACGCAGTTCAAATTCAGCAAATGTCAGAAAGTCCTAACAATGAGAATAATAATAATAATGATAACAATAATAATCGTTCAACCCCTCCGGAATTACCAGTCACTAACGAGAATAAATTAGAATCACAAAATAAAACAGATCAAACTCCTACATTGCAACCAGTAGAAGTTAATGAGAGCCTATTCTCCCAGTCCCTTTCTTCATCCCCTATCCCTCATCCTCCTCCTCCTCCTCCGGTATCTTCACCAGCTATATCATCATCAATCCCTTTATTCACTAATTCTAATTATCATGTAGAACCAATGAAGATTAAAGAAGAATCAGAGATGGATTTCCCGCTGGATTTAAATATTGAACAGTCTGATCCAATCAATAATACAAATGGTAATAATAATAATGATAATAATAATAATAATGAGGATTACTCAATATTACAACAGCATGTTAATAACTTTTTAAATGATGCAATGACTGTGCAATACAATCAACAACAACAAGTACAATGCCAGCTACAGAATACCTCTCAATCATCAAATTTAACACATATTACTACAGTGGATTATTTAAAACGTCATCCATGTACATATCGTGGTTGTGGTAAGGTGTTTTATAGTCGAACAAGTTTAATTTATCATAAACAAAGTCATGCTATTGATAAACCATTCATGTGTACATATCCTAATTGTGGTATGACATTTTTTAATGAAAATCTATTGAAAACCCATTGTCAATTACATGAACCAAAACAATTACGTGAAAGATTTTCATGTACAATGCCAGGATGTAATAAAGTATTTGTTACACGTGAATGCCTTATTGAGCATATACGTGTGCATACAGGTGAAAGACCACTTATCTGTGATTATCCTGGTTGTATGCATCGTTTTGCACGACGGTGTAGTCTATTCGCGCATAAACGTGTTCATTTGGATAAAAATCAACGCCGACAATATCATTGTATTCATGCTGGTTGTAATAAAACATTTCTGTATTCACGTAGTCTCACAGAACACATGAATGTTCATCTTGGTGAAAGACCATATGTTTGTGAATATCCAGGATGTAAAAAAAGTTTTACTAGTAAAAGATACTTATATGCACATAGACGAATTCACTTAACTAGTGTCGAGAAATCGATAAGTAATTCATCCACGATCAATACTAATAATAGTCAATCTTATGAATCGAATAATAGTGATGTTCCACCAATACCAGTCACTATGACTATACCAGTTCTTCAACCAATCATTAATTATCATCATCCATTTACACAATCGATTATTTCAAATAAACAACAACAATCAACCCTACAACTCCAACAGCAACAACAACAATCACACCAACAAATGATTCAACAACACCAACAACAATTACAATTACAAGGTCAGTTGCAACATCATCTTTTATCGAATAGTAATCATAATCATAATAATAATATTGCCATGACAACGAATAATATACCAGCACATTTATTCTATCCTAATCAGCATAACTAATTAAAATTTAAATGGATCAATAATACAGGATGTATGTAAATCGATATTTTCAGTCACGTGATAGATAGATAGATAGACACACACACCCATACACCATCAACATGTACAGTCTCAGTGTAAGAAGGATTTTAAAAAAAGCACCAAACCAAACCTATTTAAACATAAATTCAAATTGATCACAATAATACACGAAGAAAAAAATCGATACTTTTTATTCATGTGATATAAATGCAGTCATATACACACTTTATAACACATGTACAATCCCAGTGTAATTAATTTATTACAATCGCCCCTATCGGTATACTTTATTCTTTATTATTATTTTAATTATTATTGAGTAAGTCCGTGTTTATTATTCACCTATCTATCCACCGACTTCGTACGCTGGTCGAACAACAATAATAACTTTAATGCATAATACTCACACACACATACATGTGTTTTATTTTTTGTTTTCTAAGGGAACCTTGAAGTGATGTCATATATTTCTTATTTATTGATTTATTACTTTCTTTTATTTATGATATAACAAGTACGATTTATTTCAATCATGTATGATGTATATTTGTGCAGTAATATATTTCGAAGAATTTTGATGACATTTCGTCTTTATGAACATTTTCGGCAACATTTCGCTTCCTGGTCATAGGTGTTGTGATACCAACACTAGTCAGGGTTTTTTTTTAGTGAACGTGAGTTTCGCCGTTGAGCGGAGTTCGGATAACGCTCGGAGGAGTTAGAAGGCATGTTTGACTTGACCTAAGCATCTGCTGGATGGAGTTGCATAACTCTATCACTGCAGTATCCTTACTCGAAGTCTGTTTATCAGCTGAGCATATTGCAGGAACTGACCGTTTAGTTATTTCTAGAATTTTATCTACAGAAACAGCTAAGTCATCTATAAAAACACCCTGAAGTGTTACATGTACAGCCTGTACTGACTGTGGCAGTTTGGATGAGAAAAGTTTTCTGAAAAGTCCTTCATCGAACTGACTTTGGCCAATAACCTCTCGCATCCTTGTTAGCATGCTTACGGCTGACTGATCCCCTAACTCGATGTTACGAAATAATTCGTCCAGGCGTTGTCGATCCGTGAGAACGTTTCTCCTTCGGAGGGATGCTTTGAGCAACTCGTACGAGTTACTTACCTCTGGACTCGACATCTGCACAGTTACGCACCTCCTGAATTCCCGCTGTAGGGCGTGAACAACTGCAAGGAAGTGTGAGCGTTGATCGGTTATCCCATGCTAACTAAAATCAAACTCAGCTATCTGAAACCATGTTTCAGCATTATCTGGTCAATATGGTACGAGCTGAATGGTTTTGGCAGTTGAGCGAATACGAATGACCTTAGGATTATGATCACTCATGACGAAATACATATATATATAGTTTGAAAATAGTACAAGAACAAATACAAAATCGAACGAACTCACCGGATTTGTCTGTGTATTTACCAAAGATGAAGTTCGCGGTTGGGCTCACCAGTTTAGAGGCTGACGGTATTGACGTTCGCGAATCGTACGGAGTATACTAATGAAAGATCTACTACCCACAACTTCCACAGGATTCGTTCCGCGTAGACCAAAAACAAAGCAAAACACCAGAGTTGATCGTCCAAATTACGAGATATATTTCGTGACCAAATTGCAGTGCGAGATGATTGCTTAGCTGGCTAGTGATTGTGCACGAACGTGACACGACGGAGTACCAAATGGCGTGTAGGCTTGACCGGAAGCCTTCAGCTAAACACGTCGACTTAAATAGTGTGGGTCAGCATCCAATGTTCAGTGATGAGTGCTGTGGTCAATAGTTTTGGGGAATTATTTACAGCTACAACATCTTGGAAGCTCGGATGGAGTCATTCATAGTTGTGTACTGTTGATGAAGAGTTCCAGGGAAAATCAGGACGAAACAACTGTCCAGTAAAGTGCTTCATGGAGTATTTCATTAGTTAGTTTCCCAGTTGATGTGTCGTGTATTGAGTAAGGCCTTATCACTTTTGCGAGGTTGATAAGCAATTTGACCAGCTTGGTAGTGCTTTGCAAGCAGTATATAATTCCATACTATAATTTGCTAATCACGAATATATCACACACAGTGAAACTGTATTATATTGATTGGATGGGATGACGTTTCAAATACAGTTTATTATGTTGAAGTAAACTGATGGGCAAAGTTCTACAATAGCGACCCAAGGGATGCGAACACACGAGTGACTTTGGGCCGACCAATCAGAAAAATAAGGGATTTTTGCGCAGAAAATTTCGTATATTTACATAAAAATCCATGAAAAAGCATTAAACAGGGTATCTTTCTCTGATATAAGATGAAAATATGTTGGCAGAAGCTAGAATTCACGGGCTGGTCATAGAATCGGGTCCCAGTGGTCCAATGGTCTACGAGCTCGCCTTGTAACCGGAAGGTCCTGGGTTCGAACTCCCTGTGGTGGGAGCGTACTGTGAAGAGTCCCAAACCAGTACGAAACAACTGTCCAGTACTCCCAAGTTTCCAATGATTCTCTAAATGATGTCAGCTCATTATTAAATCCTCCATCCAATAAAAATATGTCCGAATTATAATTTGGAGTTTCAGTTTTTAAATTAAACCACCAATTTCTATTCACATGTATTCATCTAGGTGACTAAAAATAACTTGGTTTTGAGAACGATTTATTGCTCTTATTCTATTTTTTAATCTTTCCCAGAAACGCTCTATTGAATTAGTATGAGTGCCTGTTCTGGGATCGACGAAATCATCGGAATAGTTAACTCGGTAGTGTATGCATCCTAAATCCGATAATCGGTTATATCCTGCCTATTCATCCGTGTGTGTGTATAATAGTGCCAGACAAAACGAGTCTTTGAATGATTGGCAGAAGAGTTTTGGCACTCCTGTCTGGGTGTCATAAATTCTCAATACCTAAACGTTGTTAACTCTAGCACTACCGCGAGTGTATTTCTTCTTTATAAGTACTGTTTCATCGATGTGAACGATAACACTGACTCCTCCCAACACTTGTGTAATATTGCTCATTTTCCATGATGCTAAATCTCGACAAAATTGAAACCACTGCACAATAGACGTCAACGTATTTTCTGTCTGAGAGGCAGTCGACTTCACTTCCGACTTCAAATACCAATAATGGCAAAGAAACAGTATATTTGTCAAAGAAAGTTTTGATTTAGCAAAGAAAGTACCAGTACAAACACTTGTTCGTTTCCATCAATGACCTGTGAATACATTTGCAGTCTCGTTGAAGCACCACAACTACATATACGAGTACGTCGTCCTATCAACCCATTATCCAGATAGTATTTAAAAACGTGATCTGGGTGGAATTCGCACCTGAGCTCGTGGACAGCGTTCATTTTCGCGCTAGAATAATCGTAGGTTTCCTCAACCCACCACTAGCATATGAGTTCAAAGTCATTTGAGCCTTTTGCACTCCTGGGACACTACTGCTTAACTCCGCCATTGGATGAATGGCAACTAGTAGTGGAATCCAGGACTCTCATTTTGTCCAGCCTAGTGGATGTGCCTGCATCCCCCCCAGTGGGAACACCATCACTTATTACGGAATGCAGGTATATCCAGGTGACGAGTCCCAAATAGGGCGAAATGAGCATCCTGGATTCCACACTGCTAGTCACCATCCACTGAATTACTGAATTTAGAAAAACAGTTTATTATTGGATAGTAATGAAACTAGGGTAGTAACAAAGGTGATGAATGGTCACAAACAGTTGTTAAAAATGAGTTACGTTGTAATATGAATGGTTTGATGATTGCGTTGTACTCAGGATGAACATAGAAACAAAGTAGAGCATACGAAATTACGTAAGAGTTCTAAATGAATAATACAAGAATTATAAAGAAACACACAAAATTAAGTAATCAAAAAATCAACAAAGTTGTTGGCATGACAGCAGAAGTGGTTTATGTAATTCTCTTTTGTATGTACAGCTCTGGTATTTCCATGTGAATGGCCAGAGCTTCATAATTATATCATCAGTTATAACTACAAAAATCTGGAACTTGAATTTGTATAGTTCTCTTTATTCCTTAACATCTATTGTAGTAGAATTTCCCAGATGTCTGTGTGGACAGTCGTTGAATCATTCTTCTATAGCACACTCATATTCTCAGTTGATTCGATAAATAAATCTGCTTTTATGAATCTCTTTGTCTCTATCGTGTCATATTACACTTTAAGACTGTCATCTTGTTCCATACTGTTGTGTGTGTGTGTGTGTAATTAGTTGCGCGTAGTGCTTGTGACAACCGAGCTATTCTCCAGATTTCTTATCTTATATGTACCAATGTGGATTCTGTTAGGTATTTGCACTTCTTCTGAGGTCTGATTGACCTCATCTTCCTACTTTTAGGTCTGTCTGTCTGTCTGTTTTTGACATAGAACTTTGCACCGATGTGCAGCAGTTCAACTCGCCACACTCCCTCCTTGTAGCACACAAAGCAAGAGAAGAAGAAAGTAGAAGAAATGCATAATAGAGACAGTAAACAGAGGTGTGAGACAAAGGAATAGTAATAACCAAGAACAATATAGTTTCATTGGAAATCATAAGTCACAAGGAGTGGATGCATCTGCTCCAGCCATTGAGAACGATGAGTTTGTGCCATATCACGAATTGTCTCCGGCGATTGGATTTTACCGTCCCCGGGACCCCAACTGGGAAGTCTACAACCTTCCGACGTGAATTAAACTAACTCTTGTTGATTTCATTGACTAGTGCTATGTTTTGCTTTGACCGCGGCTAGCTCTTTACTAACCTGACCCTATGTCAACCAACATTGCCCATTGTCGAGGAAGGCGATGGCTAGGAATACGTAACACATGTCCTAACCATCTCAGTCGATGTAATTTCACAGCTTCGTCGATTGATTTCCCTTCGCTCCTTACCTAGCACTCAACCGATGCCTAACCTAAATATTGCTCACTTTATTATACCACTTCACACGGGAGATAGACTGCAGGC